TTCTTGTAATGCTGGCTTGGTGGTGATGAACTCCTTTAGCCTTTTTTTTTTTTTTTTTACATCTGGGAAGCTCTTTATTTGACCGTCTATTTTACTATATCCTTGCTGGATATAGTAATCTTGGTCTCAGATCCTGCTTTCCATTATCTTAAGTACTTCATGCCATTCCCCTTCTGGCCTGTAGAGTTTCTGGTGAGAAACCAGGTGTCAGCCTTATGGGAACTCCTTTGTAGGTAACAGTTTTCTTTTCTCTTGCTGCCTTTAAGATTCTCTCTTTGTCTTTAATTTTTAGCATTTTAATTATGATGTCTCTGGGTGTGGGTCTGTTTGGGTTCTTCTTATTTGGGGTTCTCTGTGCCTCCTGAACTTGTGTAGCTCCAGCCATTTTGTATTACTGTGCCAAAGAAAGAATGTCTCAATAAGTTAATTCTAGACTTGGAGTGAAAAAAGATAGCATTGCCATACCAATAAAGTAGAAGGTGCAATTATTTGCCTTTTGAAGCCAATTGGAGCTCTAGGAATAGGCAGAATGCAAAATCCAAATAAAATTGTGAACTAATTGAAAAAGTTAAATTGGCTCCTATAAATGAAACAAGTGGCCATTATTTGGAAATTGCTATATGAACAATATTGTTCAAGAAGGAAAATATGAGTAGGGGGAATATGGTGAGACTTTCATTGGGCCTCAGTGGCCTTATCTCTGAAACTCCACTGGGAAGAAAGAGGACTGGAAGATGAGCCTCAAGAGACGAATATGAGCAAATACTAGCCTCATGGCTAAGTGATTTCTCAGCAGTGCTTTCTGCTTTCATTTCCCAAACTGGCACAAAGAGATTCAGAAGAAGACATGGCTGAGGCCCATCCTAGAAATAACGGAGGTGGTGGGGCTCTGCATTCTTGAACCTGTGCTAGAGTTCTGCTACCACACCCTCCATTCTACACCACACCTTTTTTTTTTTCCAGTCTGTACTTCCCATGTCTGCCTTTACAAAAAGCAGGCAGGAATCGCAACAGCACCATCAGAGTCAGACTAAAATTAAATTTAGGTTTTAGTATTAGCAGCACAGAATTGGGAAAGCAGGACATGATACAGCCATTAGTCAGATCAAGTCATATAGGCACATGGTACCCAACTGGCAGTGGCACCTTAACAGTAATTAAAATGTTGGCACCTAGGTCAAGTTTCTCAACATGGGATCCTCAGGAATCCTACAAAAATATTTCTAATGTTTTAATGTGTATAACAATAATAAATCTGGAGTTTTTCTGAATCAGAATGCCTGAAGGTGGGGGCAGGAATCCTAACCCGAACCCTTACCCTAACTCCCCAGGAGATTCCACTGTGCATCCAAGGACCCTGATGCTAACCCTAACCCTAATCCTAGCCCTAATCCTAACCCTGACACTAGCTCTAGCCCTAAACCTAACCCTAACCCTAAACTTAACCCTAATTCTAATCCTAGCCCTAGCCCTAGTCCTAATCTTAACCATAACCCTAACCCTGGCCCTAGACCTAAACCTAACCCTAACCCTAGTCCTAGCCCTAACTATAATGTTAACCGTAACCCTATGCAGTCAAGGACTTTGTTTCATTTACCACTGTTTTTCTAGAATAGTGCCTGGCTTATGGTAGACACTAAATAAATATTTGTTAAGTGAAAAGATGAAATATTACAAAAATAAGTAAGGTGATATCTAACAGATTTTATTATAAAGGAATAGATTGAAAAAGAGAGAACTAACATTTTCTGAGTGCCTACAATAAACTAGACACTGTACCAAACACATATATCGTAATAAATCCTCACAAAAGGTATTTACAGATGAGAAGTCTAAAGCTCAGATAATTTAAATAACTTTCCCAAAGTCACTTAGCCAATGTAGAACATCATTTCAATACTTTTCATTTTATTTCAATGTCTCCACGTGCCTTCCCTGACTCCCAGACTACATTAGTTGCTCCTTATAAATACTCCTTCAGAGTGTGCGCCCTACATTGTCCCTTCATGTCATTTGTCACTGTTATAATTCACTGTGTCCTTGTGGTCTTTAATGTCTGTATTCTCCACTGCACTGAACACTTCATGATAAGTGGCAGCGAATATCTTGTTAACATTTCCATGTCCAGAGCCTTCTACTTTGAGGAATGCTCAATCTCTAACATCTACTTATTGAATAAAAGAATGAAGTTCACTTTCTCCCAAATGTGATAACAGTTGATGAATGGGTTATTTGTGAGAATCAATGATGAGAAGTAATGATTTTGTAGATCAACTACCTGAATGGCACCCATTGGAATAAAGCCTGGCAGAATATCACAGGGAGAGTATGCTGGTGTGTAGGGGACCATTCTTCACAATTTACGGTAGGCAATGGGACCGTGTGGTATGAATCTCCTCTGACAATGTGCTGTCCAACATGGCATCTCCTAGCCCCACAAGGCTATTTAAATCAAGGTTAATGAAAATTAAATAAAACTGGACAATCATTTCAAGCCATATTTCAATTGCTCAATAATCATGCGTGACTAGTGGCTGGCTTATTGGACAGCACAGACAAAGAAAAGTCCCATTAAGGAAGAGTTATATTGAACAGCACTATTCCAGAAAGTTTAAAATGTCCTTGGGAAGATATAGTTTTTTACATCGGAAGGGGCCTGTTTGACTAGGTTTGTATTCGAATAAAAATTAAACTTTGAGAAAGAATCCAATCATCTGTATCCCCAAGTGTTTCTGGCCAAGGCCTATTATGTGAAGAGGAGCTTCACTGTCCATAGATGAAACATTGAGTCAGATGTGCTCACGCACAGCCGTGACTGGTGTGGAAAGAACCACTCCTCCCAGGGCTCCGGGCAGGCCTACGTTCCAGGGACGCTGCCAGCCCCTTGCTGGATGGAGCCCCATGTCTAATGCCATTCAATACCATCCTTTTGCGTTTGATGTACAAAACAGAAGACTGACATTTGAAGAAGAGGGAAGGGTTTGGGATGCTGAATGCAACTCAGACTACAGTTAAGAGTCACAACTTCTGGAGAGAAAGTCCTTAAATGATTCCTTCTTCAAAATGTCACATATTGCTGGAGATTTCACCTCCCTAATTGTCATTGCCTTAGAAAATAACATGGTTACTAGACAAGAGTAAACATTTTATTTTATTTTTTAAGTTCGCTTATGGGAGGCGGGGGGCAAGGGGGAGGGCAGGATTGGAAGAATTTTCTTAGTTTGAATCTTCCAGGTTTGGGCCCTATAATTTGATTCCATTTCTCCAGTCTTATTGACCCAGTCTACTACCAAGATTGAAAATAGTTCCTGGTTTTCCCTTCTAGACAAGAGACCAGTAGGAGAGTTGAGGAGGGGACCACCAAGCAGGCCCATATTTCCTAACTCAACAGGTGGGGAACAGGGCATTTTTATTTCTTTGGGGGTTAAGCCTACACCCCATGATCTCTCCCGGCCTTCCAGGGTTGTCTTTTCAGTCCTCCTGAGAGACACCCAGTGACAATGGTGCTCCGGTGGAGAGGTGGTGAAGGATGCAGGTGGGGATGGGGAGTTAGTGAGGCTGGGAGGAGGTGCTGGGATGGGGCCGCTGGATTCCTAAACAGTGAGCGGGACCAGGAGCCAAGAGAGAAACCCGAAAAGGACCGAAAATTCGGAGAAGAGCTCAGACGGACAGGGCGGCTGATGGGGAAGGGTCACGCTGGGACGGAGCAAACCCTGGGCCCGGGGAGGCCAGCCAGGGCTCG